CCAACCATGGTTTGAGTCCCAGACCTGGTGGCTTGGTTTCTCACTTTCCCTCTCTCTCTCTCTCTGTGTCTATCTCTGGTCAAATTAAAAACAAATGCATGAATAAATAAAATTAAATAAAAATAATTTAAAAATAAAAAAATAAAAAGAAATGAGTCGCACTTAAAGAAAAAGATATACATATAGGAATATAATATATGTATTAGGTATATATACTAGAATATATGTTAAATTTGCTATAGGGTATGTGCATGTGCCAGAAAGAGGCAGAGAGAGAGAGCAAGAGGGAGCACCCCCCACCCAGGGTAGGTGATCATGTCACAATACCTTCTCCTCCATTCTCCTATTGGAAGTTTGGACACACGCCTGCCCAGCGTGTTTTCAAGCCCCTAGGTCCAGGACTCAAACTGGGCAATTGGCCATGTGGGATCCAACTGCCCTGACCATCCCAGCCCTGTCTGGCCCCAGCACCGGGTATACCTGGATTAAAAGGATGTGGGCTCTGCCACAGAGGCCAATGTAATGCGACTTCGTAGCTACAGATTTTGCTGACATATTGAATCTTCTCTTTCTAGGGTATAGAAGTCAACTAATAGGATTGTTTTCTTTCTTAAAAAAATATTTATTTATTTAATTTTATTTGTTATTATTATTTATTTTTAATTTGACCAAAGAGACAGAAAGAGAACAAGAGAAGGGGAAAGTGAGAAAACAAGCTGCCAGGTCTGGAACTCAAACCGTGGTCAGCCATGTGGAAGTCTGGCACCTTAACCACCATGCCATCTGCCAGCCCCAATAGGATTATTTTCTGAGTGTAATTTCTTATATCTTGAGACCATCTTTATTATTTAAGTTATTTTTTAAAACTCAATTATGGAGCATGGTAACACCTGCTTTATGGCAAAAACTGTAAAAGCATTCTATTTTTTGAAAAAATCTGTGATACCTATTCATACGCCAAAAACCTTGTATAAGGCCCCAAGCCTCAAGCGGGCAGGGGAAACCATAAAAAATGTTAGGGCCATTCTCATAGTCTGGTGGTTAAGGGGGCTGGATCCCACATGGTGCACTGTGGTAGAATCCTGGCCCCTGTGGCTTGACAGACAGGCCAGGCAGATGTGTGCATGCTCTAAATCCCAAGAGGATGGAGAAATGGAGGGAAAGGGATTGCAGTGTGACCCCATCCCATTGGAGGTTCCTTTCTCTCCCTCTCTTACTCTCTCTGTCTATCTCTGTCTGTCTCTGGTGAGTGCATGTGCCCTCTGGCAATTAAGAGAAAAAATAGAAAAAGTGTCTTAAGTCCCTACCTTCTAGAAACCTGAGTTTAAATAACAGAAGGTAAATGCAGACAGAAAATCAGCTATTTCCTTGGTGATTACAAACAGTAGTCATCACTTGTCCGTCCGACCCCTAGTGGAGAGGGTGCTTTCTGTGGGCACAGGCTGCGACTGCACTCTGCTCCGGAGTCAGGGAGAATTCTAGGCTGCAGCTCCAGGCCCCGTGGCCCAGCATGAGCCTGCTGGCCACTTCACGGTGCAGGAGCTTCTGAGGAATGGGATGGCCTTCCAGAAGGGGAAACGGAGACCTTCGGGGAAAGGACATAAGCAAAGGTCACAATGTGTTAGGAATTTCTCATCGGAGACTGAGATGTGACCAAGAAAGGAGGGGCTCAAGCAGTGCCCACCCAGGCCAGCCCCAGGCACAGCGTGGGAGGTGGGGTCTGGTGCTGGAGCTGCCGTCTGCAGGGAGGCTGTGCTCGCTCACGTGTTCCCACTCTTCTCACCCAGATTCTCTGCGGCCCATTCAGGGATGTCACGACATCCTCCATGCTTCACCTGAGGCCCTGCCTTTCCTCTGCCGTGAGGAATTTGATTCTGCAGAAGAAATCAAGCATCAGAAACACAGCCAGTATGGCTGGGGGTAAGTCATGCTAGATACTGGGAGAAAAAAATCCTAGAAATATCAGCTGTGTAGGAGCCAGAAATTCCTAGACTTCCAACTTCTGCATGGGCAAAAGAAAGAGCTACATGATTAACTACCCAGACAGAACTGGCACCTGGATGACACTCAAGGTGTGGAAACCTCACTGTATGGGTCAGATCTAGTGCCACCCAGTTCTTGGTCACCTTTGCACCAAATGGTGAAAAGGGTTTTCCCTCCTGGGAAAAGTGACCCTGATAATGCTGTATTTTTGTTTCTTTGTTTTGTTTTGTTTTTCCTGTAGGGCATGTGTACTTGCCAGAGACAAGGGGAGTGGAGAGAGAGAGAGAGAGAAATCACCCACCAGAGGGATGGCCATGCTGCAGTCCCTTCTCCTCCATTCTCCTCTTGGGATCTTGGGCACGTACAAACACACATCCCCACACTTCCACCTTGATTTTCAAGCCGCCAGGTCCAGTATTCAAACCCTAGAGTCATCCATGTGGGATCCAGGGCCTTAACCTCCGCGCCACCTGATGGCCCATGATGATGTTTTATTTTAATCTGACTTCGAGTCAGGTTAATTCGCCCTACCTTTGATTGGTCTTATTCTCTAGTCCTCTTCTCTCCACTGTCTCCCAGGAGGGGCACCTGGGACGGTCTTGCAAAAGAATTTGTCATTCACCTATGTCCTAGCAATATTTCACAATAAAAAAGGCTTTCTAGTTATGGTGGACACATCAAAGGAAAAACTAGCAACAGTATTTCCAAGTGTTAGAGCAAGACCATTTTCATTTAGTTTATTGACATATCTGGCCCTATTGTTATTTATGTCCTAACAGAGTTATCCTATGTTGCATAATAGGTCACCCCAAAACTTAGTGACTTGTATAATTATGACAATTCTACAATCAAAGCTGGGCTTAGCAGGGTGGTTCTTCTGCTCCATGTGGTGACCATCCAAGCTGACTTCTTCATATCTCATGTCCACTGGGATGGCTAGAATAGCTTGCGATTTCTTTTTCTCTATGAACCCTCTTCAGCACACAAAAAACCCAGCCAGTATGGCTGGGGGTAAGTCATGCTAGATACTGGGAGAAAAAAATCCTAGAAATATCAGCTGTGTAGGAGCCAGAAATTCCTAGACTTCCAACTTCTGCATGGGCAAAAGAAAGAGCTACATGATTAACTACCCAGACAGAACTGGCACCTGGATGACACTCAAGGTGTGGAAACCTCACTGTATGGGTCAGATCTAGTGCCACCCAGTTCTTGGTCACCTTTGCACCAAATGGTGAAAAGGGTTTTCCCTCCTGGGAAAAGTGACCCTGATAATGCTGTATTTTTGTTTCTTTGTTTTGTTTTGTTTTTCCTGTAGGGCATGTGTACTTGCCAGAGACAAGGGGAGTGGAGAGAGAGAGAGAGAGAAATCACCCACCAGAGGGATGGCCATGCTGCAGTCCCTTCTCCTCCATTCTCCTCTTGGGATCTTGGGCACGTACAAACACACATCCCCACACTTCCACCTTGATTTTCAAGCCGCCAGGTCCAGTATTCAAACCCTAGAGTCATCCATGTGGGATCCAGGGCCTTAACCTCCGCGCCACCTGATGGCCCATGATGATGTTTTATTTTAATCTGACTTCGAGTCAGGTTAATTCGCCCTACCTTTGATTGGTCTTATTCTCTAGTCCTCTTCTCTCCACTGTCTCCCAGGAGGGGCACCTGGGACGGTCTTGCAAAAGAATTTGTCATTCACCTATGTCCTAGCAATATTTCACAATAAAAAAGGCTTTCTAGTTATGGTGGACACATCAAAGGAAAAACTAGCAACAGTATTTCCAAGTGTTAGAGCAAGACCATTTTCATTTAGTTTATTGACATATCTGGCCCTATTGTTATTTATGTCCTAACAGAGTTATCCTATGTTGCATAATAGGTCACCCCAAAACTTAGTGACTTGTATAATTATGACAATTCTACAATCAAAGCTGGGCTTAGCAGGGTGGTTCTTCTGCTCCATGTGGTGACCATCCAAGCTGACTTCTTCATATCTCATGTCCACTGGGATGGCTAGAATAGCTTGCGATTTCTTTTTCTCTATGAACCCTCTTCAGCAGTGGTAGACAAACTTTAGCTCAGGATTCTAAGAAACATTATATTAACACTTTGTTAGGATAAGCCCTAATGCACAAGCATGTATTAAACCTTGCTAACATCACTCTTATTGGTGTCCCTTGGGCCAAACCAAATCATGTGGCCAAAGCCAGAGTCCAGGGGGAAGGGGCTACCATAGGGTGTGAGTACAGAGAAGCATAGTTTATATAAAGAGAGTCACCCAGAAAACAGTCTACTACAATCTACAAATACAATCAGCACTCACAAGCTTGATGCCAGATGGGCAGCTGCATGTGAGGACCTCAGGGAGCACAGAGCAGAGCAGCGGGGCTTAGACCCTGGAGTCAGACAGCTTGGGTGTGAGTCCTGGCCCTGTTCCTAACTCACAGAGGAGCTGTGGGCATCCTGTGTAACTACTCTAAGCATCTATAAAATGAAAGTAGCCGCAGACTCATACCCACAGAACTGTCAGGGGAACCTGAGCTAACGTCGGGGAAAGGCTCGATCCACGTTACCTACTGTGGTTGCTCTGGCGAGAGCAGCTCATTTTACTAAGCATCTGGAAACTCCAGCTTGGACCTACCTTCTGCCTTGGAGCTTTAAGTCAGATTAGGAACATGAATGGGCAGGTTTTCCTCCTGTTAAGTTTTTAAAATGGATTTTTGGGTAAAAGGACTTGGAGGAATATCTCCATGACTCTCCACAAAGAGGAAGTGTCACGGCTTAGATGGCGTTCAAGCGATCAGGGAGTGCCCAGATCACATGGAGCCAGAAAGCACCTTCACCAAAAGGCGAGGCCTTTGTGGTCTATGCTCAATCCAAAAAGGGGCCACCGAGCCCTCTGTTCTGTGCCCGGTAGCTACATTTCCAGTGGTGGAGATGAACAAAGCCAACGCAGAGTGCCCTCTGAAATGCATTTAACTGAAAAGGAAACAAAGAAGCTTTGTATGCATAATATCCCCCATTTATTGTATTAAAAATCCAATTTGTTCTCACAACAGGCTTTGGAGGTAAGAGGTGGGTGGGTGGGGCTGGGGAGGCCTCTGAGCTGGCTGTGTCCCCCTCACCTCGCTTCAGATCCTTTCTGGGGCCATGAGGGCTCGCTAGAGAAAGCGTCCAGCAGTGGGGGTGCATCCAGAGCGCCCTCATTTGGAAAGTCTGTCTGTAGCATCGGCAAGCATGTGGGATTGGGGTGGTTCCAGCAGGAGCTGGCTGTGAACTTTTCCCAGAAGATGTTGGCACCTGCTTCTCCCCACTTTCCCGAGGAGAAAAGTGCTGCAAGGGATGGTGGGTGCATTTTAGGGGACCCAGTACCTGTAGCCCAGTGGGTATTATGCATTGAGAAAATGAGGGGAACTCAGGGTCACCTGTGCCAGGTTTAAAGCCCAGCTGTGCCACACACTAGCTGTGTGACCCTGGAAAAGTCATTTCATGTCTCTAAACCTTATTGTCCTCATCCATAAAATGTAGATGATCACGTACATAAATTACCCAGCACAGAGCCTGGCACATAACCGACACCCAGTAATGCTAGCTAGCAATATTATTATAGAAAAGAAATATCCAAGGGCTAGCAGGAGGTGTTGTGGTCAAGGCACTGGACTCTGGCATGGCTGACGGTGGTTTGAGTCCCATACTGGAGGTTTGAAAATCACTTCTGGGCGCATGTGTGTGTGGGCCCAAAATCTCAGGAGTAGAATAGAGGAGAAAGAATGGCAGTGTGGCCATCTCCCCACCCGACCCCCCTGCAGGGGGTGAATTCTCACTTTCCCTCTCTCTATCTTTCTGGTATGCGCACATACCCTATGTGTGTAATTTTAGAATATTGAGAAAGGCATAGAAAAAAATAATTAAAATCTCCTGCAGACTTATCACCTGGAGACAACCATGATTAACATGCAGATGTATTTCCTTCTAATTCTTCCTCTCATCTCTTTTATACAAAAGAATATATCAAACGTACAGTTTTGTTACCTAGTATCACTCTTTTAGTGATAGGCCACAAATACCCTTGCTTTTCTAAAGTGAGATATTGAGCATGTGTGCTTGCCAGAGAGACAGAGAGACAGAGAGTGAGAAGTCACCCCCCGGGGGGATGGCCACGCCGCAGTCCCTTCCCCTTCATTCTCTTCCAGTGTGAATTTCAAGTCTCCGGGTCCAGGACTCAAACCACGTTTGGACATGTGGAAGTCAGCGCCTCAACCACTATGCCACCCACTGGCCCCACAAACACCTTTTAATATAATCATTAAATACGTCTTCTGTGCCATAATTTTAAATGTCTTTACAGGATATACAGGCTTCCACTGACTGAATGTAACTCCCCTCCTGCCTCTGGACACCAGTGTGTTAAGTAATTTACATACATTAACTCACTGCCGCCTCTTTGAGGTTGGGCTGATAACTTCCATTTTACAGATAGGAAAACTGAGGCTGAGAGCTACAAGACATTGCCCAAGGTAACATGGCTTGTTAGAGTCAGGATTCAAGCCCAAGTTTCTTTGCCTCCAAAGGCAGAAGACTTCCCATTCCAGAGGATGGTCAGTTGCCTCCAGAGGTGGTGGTGTGCTAGTGAGGGTCTTCCTCTATAGTTCTGTTAGAGCTGTCTCTTTAAAGGGAGAGTCGAGGATCCTGTAAATTTGATTGGTCAAGAATCCACCCAGACAACGTATGCAAATAGGGCCAGCCAGTGGCACAACTGTAGCACCATACTCTGTGATCCCGGACCAACAAGGACCTAGGTTTATGTCCAAGGCATGTGGTCTGGGCTGGCTAAGGCTTGGAGTGGATTATGGCACGAAGATCTTCTGGGGATCTCTCTTTCTCTCTCTCTCTCTCTCTCGCTCTGTCCCTCTCATGAAATAAACTTAAAAAAAGAAAGAAAGAAAAAAGCAAAGGGTCAGGACCACTAGATGGCATAATGGTTACATTGTTGTACTCCCACGCATTCAACCATGGTGTGAGTCCTGGACCTGGCAGCTTAAAACTCAATGCTGGGCTCATGTGCATGCATGCCCAAGATCCAGAGAGAAGAATGGAGGAGAAAGGATTGCAGTGTGGTCATCCACCCGGGGGATGATTCCTTTCTGTCTGTCTCTCTGGTGACTGCATGAGCCCTATAGCAAAAATCTCTCTTAAAAAAGAAAGAAAGAAAGAAAAAAGTGTTGGGCCAGCAGGTGATGTGGTGGTTAAGACGCTGGACTCCTACATGGCTGACTATAGTTCGAGTCCCAGACCTGGCAGCTAGGTTTCTCACTTTCCCTTTCTCTCTCTGGTCAAGTTAAAAAAAATAATAATAGGGGACCAGCAGGTGTGGTGGTTAAAGCATGGGACACACCCACATGGTCAATCACAGGTCGAGTGCTGGACCTGGTGGCTCGCTTTCTCACTTTCCCTCTCTCTCTCTCTCTCTCTCTCTCTCTGTGTGTGTGTGTGTGTGTGTGTGTGTGTCTGGTCAAATTAATGAATTGGGACCAGCAGTTGGCATAATGGCTATGTTGTTGGACTCCCATATGGTCAACTGCAGTTCAAGTCCCAGACTCAGAGCCTTAAACTCACACCAGGTGCATGTGTGTGTGCATGCCCAAGATCCCAAGAGGAGAATGGAGAAGGGCTTGCGGTGTGGCCATTCCCCCTGGGGGGTGATTTCTCACTTTCTGTCTCTCTGTCTTTCTGGCAAGCACCTGTGCCCTATAGCAGAAACCTCTCAAAAAAAAAAAAAAAAGAATAAATAAAAAAAATAATTCTTTAAAATAATAATAAGTAAAATTAAGTAATTCCTTTAAAAAAAGGGGGGGATACAAACACATCTTTCCCAAAAGGAGTACCCAATGGCCAATAAAACATGAAAAGGCCCTCAGCCGCCCCCGTCAGCAGGGTAGTGCAGATGAAAACCACAGGTGGGACCAGCAGTTAGCGTAATGGCTATGTCACTGGACTCCCACGTAGTCGACCATGGTTCGCGTCCTGGACCCAGTGGCTTAAACTCACGCTGGGCGCATGTGCGTGCGTGCCCAAGATCCCGAGAGGAGAATGGAGGAGAAGGGATTGCGGCATGACCATCCCCCCTGGAGGGTGATTTCTCGCACCCAGCATGTTTTAATAAGCCTCTGGGACCAAGTTGGCCATGTGGGATCTGGCTCCCCATGCAAAGGCCGTGGCCCTGTGCCAGGGGACCAACCCTGTTCTGTTTCTTGATCTGGACGCTGGATATGTGGGTACAAATGCACCCAGCTGTGCACTTCTGTACACTTTTCTGGGTATACATAATGTCTAATCAAAAGTTAAATTTAAAAGGATATGTCAGGAAGCAACTGACAGTGCCTTTGTGCCTTCTCCCACCAAACCCAGGGCTCCGACGCGCCAGCCTGGTGGTCCTGCACAAGACTCTTGCACCTGCCTTCAAAGAGTTCTGCCAGGCCAACACTGGTCCTCTGCCCCTGCTGGGCCAAAGTGAGCCAGGAAAGTGGACACTGCCTACCCAAGATACTGCCCCAGACACCAGGTAAAAGCCCAGGTTTCTGGGGGTTGAAGTTTGGGAGTACTCCAGGGACAACAGAGAGTGGCTCCCACACTGAGAAGGAACTTAGAGAACGAAAAACAAAGTGAGCAACTCCATGGAGCCATTAACAGGAGTCCATTGGACGGCAGCTAGCAGCCAGCAGGTCGGTGGATGACCTGGAAGCATTCGCAGTGGCTCTCTGCGCCCAGAGCTGGTGTTTGTAAAGGGAAAGCAAAGGAGCTACACAGAAGCAGCCTGGGGAAGCAAGTTTGGAAACGTGACTGCCCCCAGATTCCCCATATTATTCCCCCTTTCCTGACCTTTCCCCTTGCAGAGGGGAGAACGTTGGCACGGGAAGAAGACCCAAGCTGCACAGTGCGGGCACAGCAGGCGGGATTGAGGAGAACCCCAAGACTGCATGGTCCTCATAAAGCAGAGTCAGACTGAAGCGTTTGCGCTCATCTAAACTGGCCTTCTTGCCCTAGTCTCACCCTCCTGCTATGCCCCCATCTTCTGCTTGGCCTCAATCTGATCACGTGAGCTTACTATTTAAAATTCTTCAGTGACCCAGCCTGATCTTAAGACCCATGGTGGGTGGGAACCAGCAGTTAGCATAATGGCTATGTCGCTGGACTCCCACGTAGTCGACCACGGTTCGCGTCCCGGACCCAGTGGCTTAAACTCACGCCGGGCGCATGTGCATGCGTGCCCAAGATCCCGAGAGGAGAATGGAGGAGAAGGGATTGCGGTGTGACCATCCCCCTCTGGGGGGTGATTTCTCGCTTTCTGTCTCCATGTCTCTCTCTGTCTGTCTGGCGAACGCACGCGCCCTATAGTGAAAACTTCTCTTAAAAAAAAAGACCCATGGTGGGGACCAGCAGATGGTGTAATAGTTTCATTGCTGAACTCCCATCACAGTTCAAGTCCTAGACCCAGCAGCTTAAAACTCACGCCAGGCACGTGTGCGCGTGTGCCCAAGATCCCAAGAGGAGAATGGAGAAGGGATTGCGGCGTGGCCATTCCCCCTGGGGGGTGATTTCTCACTGTCTGTCTCCCTCTGTCTCTCTGGTGAATGCACATGAAAAATCGCCCTAAAGAAAAAAAAAAAAAAAGGACCATGGTAGCCTGGCCCAGCTCAGTTTCTACTCTGGCTTGGACACTACAGTCCTCTCTAATCTTTTGTCTAGATGGAAAACCCCCAGGAACATTCTACCACTGTCATTGTGTGAACTCCAGGGACTGGAAGATCCTTTGGAGGCCCCCTCTGGGCCCAAATTTGCTCCTTTACATTTTCCCCAGTACCGCCAGCGCTGCCACCTTGCAGACCCCTGCAGCGGCTCCTCAGTGGGCCGTGCTGCTGAACGCCTCCATACTTTGTAGCTACTGCTCCCACTGCCAGGTGTGCTTCCCTTCTTACCCAGCTGGTGAACTCTTACTCATGCCTCGAGACCCACCACTTCTCCTCTGTGGCAGAGAATGGGTTCTTCCCTTCTCTGTGTTCCCTCGCAGGAGATTAGATGGTTTCCTTTGCTGTTCTGTTTTCAATGCGTCCCCACCTACCAGAGCAGGGCTATGAGCTCCCTAAGGACTGGGATGACGTGCTCTCTCACTGTGGCCCCGTTGGCTGGCATGTGCCCGGTGTGGAAGAATGGCTCAGTAAAAACTTTGGAGTGAGTTTTGAAATCAGATGTCTTTCCACCTGACAGGAGAGTTTCTCAAAGGAGAAAGAAAGGCTTCTCCCCTTGCTGGCACTTTAGAGGTTCCTTGACATGTCTTCTGTCCCTTTTGGGACATGTCCTCTCTCATGTTTGGCCCATTGGCCCTACCTAAAAAGGGAGTCATTGATTTTTTCCCTGCTGGGTTGGCTGGTCTTGGGTTGAAGCTGTAGGAGATATAATGGGCTGGTAGGTGGGGGCTGTTCCATAGTTTCCAGTCCGGTAAGATTGAAGGACGCCAGGCAAGGCCCCGACTGAAAACGACATTCCCTGACTGTGCCAGTGCCTGGACTTTCAGCACCCCACATCCTCTTCTCTGTCCCCAGTCCTTTACAAAGTGCATTGTCAGGGCCGTACTGAGATCGGGGCCTGTGAGCTTTCCCTTGTGTCCCCAGGATGGGCTGTCCCCAGTTCCAGAAATATGAGTTCGGCACCTGCACAGGCAGCCTGACCTCGCTGGAGGATTATAAGGAGCAACTGGAGGACATGGTGGCCTTTGTCCTGGGCTACAGCTTCTCCCCGGAAGGGGCTTTGGAGAAGGTGGGGCTCCCTAGAAGACACTCGGCAGATCCTGGCCACATGGGTGCATACAAGGTAAGGACACAATCCCCTAGGACAGGATGGCTTGAAATTGTGGATCGACTTGCATTTGCCTGCAAGGGGCGAGCACCGGCTTGGGATGCAGAAGGTGTAGGCTGAGATCGGGGCCTGTGAGCTTTCCCTTGTGTCCCCAGGATGGGCTGTCCCCAGTTCCAGAAATATGAGTTCGGCACCTGCACAGGCAGCCTGACCTCGCTGGAGGATTATAAGGAGCAACTGGAGGACATGGTGGCCTTTGTCCTGGGCTACAGCTTCTCCCCGGAAGGGGCTTTGGAGAAGGTGGGGCTCCCTAGAAGACACTCGGCAGATCCTGGCCACATGGGTGCATACAAGGTAAGGACACAATCCCCTAGGACAGGATGGCTTGAAATTGTGGATCGACTTGCATTTGCCTGCAAGGGGCGAGCACCGGCTTGGGATGCAGAAGGTGTAGGCTCTAGTCCTGTCCCAGCCACTGTCTAGCTGTGCAGTCCTGGACAAGCTGTTAACTTCTCTGATCCTGTTTCCTCATCTGGGGAAGTGGGACCACCAGCCTCTCTCTCACCCACCTCTGGGACTGCCTTGAGTCCCCAGTGTGGCTTTTTGACAGATCAGTGCAGCTGTGAAAACCACACTGGTTTGGAATGTCTTCGGCTCTTTTACTGGAGGGCCTCTCAGTGAGATGTTTGAAATTCCTCCTGGGCTGGGTGACCATGGTCTCAGGAAGAGTGAGCCTGGCTCTGTAACTGCCCAGGGATCTGTGGCAGAGCCTCGGCCAGGCCACCGGCTGCAGCTGGTTCTGTCTTCAGAAAGTCGGGTCACATGCTTGGCCAGAGGTGGCCAGTGGTGGTCACAGCCAGTGTGGTCGGCCTCTCTTGGGACGCGCTGTTGTGCCTGAAGTTTCCTTCCAGAACTGACTTGCCAAAGGGAGAGGACCAGCTTTTCTCATTCCACTGCCCCTGCCGGATGAGTTTTTGGCAGTCTGAGAACTCACCCTGCTAGGCCAGTGGTCAGCCGATGAGAGGGGCCGGGCTCCAACTGTCTATATTTACGGAGGCCATTCAGATTGGAGATTTCATCCTGGGCGCTGGGTCATTTATTAAAATGTCCTGGTCTGGGCTCTTGCCAGAGAGGCCTAAGCTGCCTCTGGTCTGCAGCAAAAAGGCTGCCCGGAGCCTGAGCGGCCTTTCGAGAGGAAAGTGTTTCTGAAGCTGGGGAGACTAGGGACGGAGCCATGCAGGGTTTGGCCAAGAACACGCCATATTTGTAGCCAGCTGAGCTGGGAGGGCCTCACGGCTCAGCGTGCACAGCCTCTCCTTTTCCACGAGAAAACTGAAGCCTAGAGAGAAAAGGACTTGCCGAGGTCAGGAGCCAGGCTGCAACCCAGAACCCTGGCTTCCTTCTGAAACTGGCGACCACAGAGGTGTGGCGGTGAAAAGTGCTTTGCACAGATGCGTGTGGGGCGAGGAGTAAGTGTGCAACACAGTCCTTTCTTCTCCAGACACCTCACTGTCGCCACCGAGGACCAAATAGTTGTCAGTCTAACTTCGACACCTCTGCCCCCAGCTGCCATCTCGGATCTCATAGACGGCCCTGAAAGGATGCAGCACCCCTGCTGGAAGATGCCTCCGCCTCGGGGGCCCTGCCTGGCTCTGCAAGTGGCCCTGCCAGGAGCCCATTCCCTGTCCTGGGTGCTCTTAGGCAGACCCCATGCTGGCAGGCACACTGAGGTTTTACCCTGCTGCTGTGGCGAGTAAGACTAAGCCCCTCTAGTGGGGGCCCAGGCTGTCCTGGTGGATTATAGTCCTGGCCAAGGCCCGAATCTTCCCTAAGCCTCATCGCAGGAACTGAAAACTGTTTGGGGGTGGAAAAAGATACCCCCAGCGAAAGCCACAGAAGTCATCCCAGGCAACTTCTACGAAGGCAAGAGAACTGAGTAACACCAGGTGGGGCTGGGGACAGCTGCCCCGATGCGGCAGACAGCAGTTCCTCCTGTGACATTCGGCTCCCTGTGTCCCTCTGCCTCTTGTTGTCCCAGAGCTTCCTACCTGCAGTCCACAGGCCCTTTGAGATTCAGAGGAAAATTTCAGAGAGTCCATGAAATTGGATGAGAAGGAATTTTGCATTTCTGTTTTTATAACCTCAAACTGAAGTTTTAGCATTTCCTTTCATCAAGAACATAGGTAACAATGGCAGTCACGTCAGAGACACTGCAGCCTTGCGGCCGTCCAGAGAAGTCAGGGATACGTGCGTTATCACATTACCCTATTTCCTGATAGCACAGAAGTATCCAGCAGTTGGCATGATGGCTATGTCCCTGGACTCCCATGTAGTTGACCGTGGTTCGAGTCCCAGACCTGGTGGCTTAAACACGCTGGGCTTACCCAAGATCCCTAGAGGAGAATGGAGGAGAAGGGATTGTGGCATGGCCATCCCCCCTGGGGGGTGATTTCTCGCTTTCTGTCTCTATGTCTTTCTTGTCTTTCTGGCGAGCGCACGCGCCCTATAGCAAAAACTTCTCCAAAAAAATAATAAATAAATGAAGTATCCTATATAGTAATCACTGCTTCCAAATCACAGTGGTAACAGATTGACTGTCTGGCTCCTTAAGGTTTCTTTTTTTCTTTTTTTGGAGAGGTTTATCGCTATAGGGCGCGTGTGCTCACCAGCAGAGAGAGACAGAGAGACAGAAAGCGAGAAACCACCCCCCAGGGGGGATGGCCACACTGCAATCCCTTCTCCTCCATTCTCCTCTCGGGATCTTAGGCAAGCACGCACACGCGCCTGGTGTCAGTTTAAGCTGATGGGTCTGGGACTCAAACCGTGGTCGACTATGTGGGTGTCCAGCGACATAGCCATTACGCTAACTGCTGGTCCCTGGCTCCTTAAGCTTTTAACAAAGAAGCTCTCACATGACTTCACGTTTTTCCATAATTTGATAACTTCCTTCGCAACATCATTGGTTTCCTTGGAAATCCTACGTGCTTTCTATTGTCAGGTTAGAAACTTCATTCTGACTAGGGGTCCACCGCTGCCCAAGTTCAGATTAATGTTTTAAACCAGTAATTACCAACAAACCTCATCTCGTGGTCATGTAAGAGAGAAGTGATATTTTTGTAACAGATACTGCAACCTTTTTTATATCCACCTGCATTACCATACAGGGCTTGGATCTGTGTTCTGTCCAGTTTTTAACATTTTTTGCCTTTTTTTTTTTTTCACCAGACCACTTTGCCTTGCATGGCCACTGCTGGCTTCTGCTGCCACCTGGTGGTCACAATGAGGCCTGTTCCCAAGGACAAGCTGGAGAGGCTGGTGCAGGCCTGTTGCTCAGAGGGTGAGCAAGGACAACCCATTCACATTGGAGATCCAGGTCAGCACTCACACCCATTTGGGGTTCCGATGGCCACTTTTGGGCGTGGGCCTGAGAAGCAGACAGGAACCTGCCACGTTCCTGGGCGTCCATGGCTTGTCACTTCTCCTAAGTGTCTCATGGGGTGAAGGCCCAGGGCACTGCTCAAAGTTGCCAGCAGCAGAATCAGGGCTGGGGTGGAAGGTGGCCCTCAGGTTTAAAGGATTACCCTTGGCCGCATGGCCAGCCTCACCGCCTGGGGATCTGTGATCAACGTAAACTGTTTGGAGCTCTGGATGGACCTGGGGGTGGGGGAGGCAGAGTGGCAGTGGACTCATTGTCTAGATTTGAGCTCGAAGCAGCCTGTAATCTGGGCTGCTGTTCAGTGGCACATTTTCACAGGAGATGGCTTTGTTTAACATGTTTATTCAGGTCATCCAGTAGCGTAGTGGTTAAGGGAGTCAGATCCCACATGGCTGACAGTGGTTTGAATCCTGGCCCAGTCGCTTTAAAAACATGCCAGGCCCATGTGTGTGTGTGCCTCAAATCCCAATGGGATGGAAAAATGAAGGACAGAGATTATGCCTGACCATGCCCCACTTGGGGTGTGTGTGGGGTGGATATTCTCCCCCAGTGTCTCTCTGGTGAGCACATGTACCCACTGGCCACATGGTAGTTGGGGTGCTGCATTCCACATTACTAGCCATGGTTTAAGTCCCAGACCTGGTGGCTTGCTTTCTCACTTTCCTTCTCTCTCTGTATGTGTCTCTCTCTGGTCATTTTTTTTTTTTTTTAGAGGTTTTTGCTACAGAGCGCATGTACTCACCAGAGAGACAGAGAGAGACAGAGAGATAGAAAGCGAGAAATCACCCCCCAGGGGGGATGGCCACACCACAATCCCTTCTCCTCCATTCTCCATCATGGGCATGCATGCACATGCGCCCGGCGTGAGTTTTAGCCACCGGGTCCAGGAATTGGACTGCAGTTGACTACGTGGGAGTCCAGCGACATAGCCATTACGCTAACTGCTGGTCCCTCTGGTTAAATTTTTTAAATAATAATAATAAAAATAAATAAAATAAATAATTTTAAAACAAAAAGTAAAACAAGCAGAGACCCAATGGGAAAACAAATGAATAGCTAAATACATGTTCATGCAAACTGAAATCCACTCATCTCAGTACATTAACTCAATCTGAGCGTAAGTTCCTAGGTCTAAGGATGAAAGGCCAACATCTGGAAGCTGCCCAGGCCTGATGAAAGCTTCGGATTGGGCCTTGGGTGAGCGTCAAGAGTACACCTGAACTTGCTCGGCTGCGTAGCAAACAAAACCAGACAAAGCCTGGCATTCTGTAAAAACGCAGCCTGCACTCACTGTCCTGCCACGTGAAGGTGGCCTCAGCACTGCACCAGAAGGTCGTCCGCTGAACTGTGCTCTCGCCCATGGGACTGGCTGGACACACTATTTCCATCTCGCTGTCCTCGTCAGCCCCTCGATGGCGGGCCAGGGTCAGCAGTGCTGTTGTTGGTCAAGCGACAGAGTTTAGGCCCATGTCACATGACTGGATCTGGATCAAAGTAAGCTCACAAACACGGGCTTTGCTCGCAGTCTGTACGAGGGACGTATCGGGCTAAGCGCACCCAAGACTCCTTCCAGAAATCACATGGAACCAGAGATTCTGTGTCCTAAAACTGTAGCCCTCAACAGGGTACAGCCCTTACCGTGTATCCCGAGCTGTTAAAACGCGATTCCTAGTCTCCCCCTCCTTTTCAAATACCATCTAAAATAATCCTACAACCAGAGTCATAACGGACCATAACTTAGGGTGTTCTCCATGCATGGAACTTGCTGAGAAAATTACCTTTTCTTGTCCCTGCAGAACTGTTGGGAATCAAAGAACTTTCCAAACCTGACTTCGGGGAGCCTGCGGTGTGTCAACCGGGGGATGTCCCAGTGTTCTGGCCTTCTCACCTGACCAGTCTTGAAGCTGTCGGCAGCTGCGGTATGTTGGGGCACAAGGGGGCAATGACTCGACCTAGGACAGAGCCCAGGGGTCTCTGGTTCTTGAACGTACAGGCTTACAGTGCAATGATTTAGGAAATAAAGCCACGAAACAAAACACGAAACAGAAGCCAACAACCCTCAATGAGTTTTCTGATTTCATTCTTTAATCCCAGGGCTTCTCACAGAGCAGCTGTCAGATATTAATAGCGTTTTTTTTTTTTTTTTTGCCAGAGGGTGTGTGCACTCACCAGGGAGATGGGGAGACAGAGAGAGGGGGAAAAGCACAACATCCTTCCCCCACCGCTAATCCTCCCTTCACCTCCCAGGGAGCGTGGTCAAGGCACAATCCCTCTTTCTCTACTTCTCCAGCCTGTTGGGATTTGGGGCGTGCACACGCATGCACTAGGGTGTGTCGGGGCAATGATTCGAACCACAGGCAGCCGTACGGGATCCAGCTCAGCTCTCTTAACCAATAGGCTACGGGCTGGGCTTACTATACATTTTTTAAAGAATTTTTTGAACTTAACTTTATTTATTTTAATTTGATCAGAGAAGGACAGAGTGAGAGAGAGAGGGGTGGGGGGGGAGTGAGAAAGTAAGTCACCAGGTCCAGGACTCAAATCGCAATTGGCCATGTGGGAGTCCAGTGCCCCCAACCACCATGCCATTTAAATTAAATAAATAAAAACAAGCAAAACAAAAAGTAAAACAAGCAGAGACCCAATGGGAAAACAAATGTATAACTAAATAACTGTTCATTCATGCCGGCCCTGGCCTTACTATATTCTGAAGTTTATTTTTTATTTAATCCTTGAGAGGGATAAAGAGGTGACCTCGACAGGTCTTGTCATACTGTGATCCTTCCTACAGCGTCCCAGCCAGCCGGGATCACGGCAGACACAGGCACACCCGGCATGTTCAGGTCCGGAGCCAAAGCTGGGCCTCTCTGTGGCCCCAGTATCATGCAGCATCACCTACTGCCTGCATCACCACGACTGGGCCTCAAATGCATTTTAATGAAGTATATTCCCATCTACTGAAGCCTACAGCCCATTCTAACAGAAAGACCAACCTTGACTTTCTGAGATGTTTTGGTGGTTAGTGAGACTTTAAAAACAAAGGGGAAGGGGTCAGCAGATAGAGTCATGGTTAGGACGACTAACTTCCCACATGGCTAACGGTGGTTCAAGTCCTGAACCTGGTGACTTGAAAATCATGTCAGGCACATATGCATGCATGCCCAATATCCTGAGAGGAGAATGGAGGAGACGAGCCTACAGTGTGGCCATTCCCCCCAAGGGATGATTTCTCACTTTTGCTTTCTGTCTCTCTCCTGTCTGGCAAGCACACACACCCTATGGCAAAAACGATAAAAAGGGGCCAGCAGGTGGTATGGTGGTTAAGGCGCTGGACTTCCATGTGGCTGGCTACAGTTCAAGTCCCAGACCTGACACTTGGCAGTTTGCTTTCTTACTTTCCTTCTCTCTCTCTCTCTCTCTCATGAGCACATGGGTCCTATGATAAACTTAAGAAAATAATAAAAATAAATAAAATTAAATAAGTAATTTTTAAGAGAGATTTTTGCATACACTTGCTGGACAGACAGAGAGACAGAAAGTGAGAAATCACCACTTGGGGGGATGGCCATACTGCAATACCTTCTCCTCCATTCTCCTCCTGGGATCTTCAGCACACACGCACATGTACCTGTTGTGAGTTTTAAGTTACCGGGTCCAGGACTCGAACCATGGTTGACTATATGGGAATCCAGCAACGTAACCATTACGCCATCTACTGGTCCTATAAATAAGTAATTCTTAAAAAACAAACAAACAAAAACAAAAACCAAAGGGAAGCTGAGAAACACCATTAAACAAACTATTTTACTTGGTGTTTGCAAGGTGATTGAAAGCGACAGGACGTTTTTTTTTCTAAGTCCTGGGAGATATTACAATGCGGAAGCGCATGAGGCACCCTCACTAGCTCATAGCAAGTAATGAGATAAAAACATTAAAAATAATAAATAATTCCCTAGGGACCAGCAGTTAATGTAATGGCTATGTCGCTGGACTCCCACGTAGTCGACCACGG